TTCAGCTAATTATCTAGTTATTATGCAATGTACACTATCCACTCAGCTAATTATCTAGTTATGATGCACTGTACACTATCCATTCAGCTAATTATCTAGTTATGATGCACTGTACACTATCCATTCAGCTAATTATCTAGTTATTATGCAATGTACCCTATCCATTCAGCTAATTATCTAGTTATTATGCAATGTACACTATCCACTCAGCTAATTATCTAGTTATGATGCACTGTACACTATCCATTCAGCTAATTATCTATTTATGATGCACTGTACACTATCCATTCAGCTACTTATCTAGTTATTATGCAATGTACACTATCCGCTCAGCTAATTATCTAGTTATAATGCACTGTACACTATTCATTCAGCTAATTATCTAGTTATGATGCACTGTACACTATCGACCCAGCTAATTATATAGTTATAATGCACTGCGCACTATCCATTCAGCTAATTATCTAGTTATGATGCACTGTACATTATTCACACAACTGGCCACTAGTTATAATGCACTGTACACTATTCATTCAGCTAATTATCTAGCTATAATGCACTGTACATTATCTATACAGCTGACCACTAGTTATAATGCACTGTACATTATCCACACAGCTGACCACTAGCTATAATGCACTGTACATTATCCACACAGCTGACCACTAGCTATAATGCACTGTACATTATCCACACAGCTAATTATCTAGTTATTATGCAATGTACACTATCCACTCAGCTAATTATCTAGTTATGATGCACTGTACACTATCCATTCAGCTAATTATCTAGTTATTGTGCAATGTACACTATCCATTCAGCTAATTATCTAGTTATTATGCAATGTACACTATCCACTCAGCTAATTATCTAGTTATGATGCACTGTACACTATCCATTCAGCTAATTATCTAGTTATGATGCACTGTACACTATCCATTCAGCTACTTATCTAGTTATTATGCAATGTACACTATCCACTCAGCTAATTATCTAGTTATAATGCACTGTACACTATTCATTCAGCTAATTATCTAGTTATGATGCACTGTACACTATCGACTCAGCTAATTATCTAGTTATAATGCACTGTGCACTATCCATTCAGCTAATTATCTAGTTATGATGCACTGTACATTATTCACACAACTGGCCACTAGTTATAATGCACTGTACACTATTCATTCAGCTAATTATCTAGCTATAATGCACTGTACATTATCTATAGAGCTGACCACTAGTTATAATGCACTGTACATTATCCACACAACTGGCCACTAGTTATAATGCACTGTACATTATCCACACAACTGGCCACTAGCTATAATGCACTGTACATTATCTATACAGCTGACCACTAGTTATAATGCACTGTACATTATCCACACAACTGGCCACTAGTTATAATGCACTGCACATTATTCACATAGCTGACTACTAGCTATAATGCACTGCACATTATCCACACAACAGGCCACTAGTTATAATGTACTGCACATTATCCACACAGCTGACCAATAGTTATAATGCACTGCACAATATCAACATAGCTGACCAATAGTTATATTGCAATGTACATTATTCACACAACTGGCCGATAGTTATAATGTACTGCACATTATCCACACAGCTGACCAATAGTTATAATGCACTGCACAATATCAACATAGCTGACCAATAGTTATAATGCACTGTACATTATTCACACAACTGACTGATAGTTATAATGCACTGCACATTATCCACACAGCTGACCA